TTTGGTGGTCTAAAATCGATAAGAGTAGGCTTCGGCCGCCACCCGGGCAAAATTCAAAATTTCATACCCAGTGAAAAGTTGAACGTGTCCCGCGCGCTCATGACCGAATGCTGTTGCGAGCGCCGTAAAACACAAAAGAAACAAGCATTATCATGGTAATGAACGGGTTTGTCCTTTCTCGTCGTTGTTGTCGGAGGCTTTTTGTTCCCAAGTTTGATTCATAAGTGCCTGGCCTGGCTCTCTTACCGATGTCTCGGGTCAATGACCTCCTGGTCTGGTCAATGGGCTGCTCGAACGCCGTGTGGAGTGTGTTATTTTTCTTGTTGTGTGCGTCCATGTTTCCCGCTGGGTCGGATCGTTGTGTGTTAAGATTATGGTTAGGGCAGTGCTTGTAATTGTAAACCTTTTTTGTTTAAAAACAAAATCTTCTGCATCCACCGTCAGTATCGTTTAAGAGGCTGAACAGACAGACAAATTGGCAGACACAAACACAACCAACACACTCACAAACACGCACACAAACACCCACTCACACACACACGCGCGCGCGCACACACACATACACAGTAGCAGTAGAAAGGCTGCAGAAAGAGTTAGGGGCCCAGAGGAATGGGCAAAGGAGGCGAGGGGGTGGGGGCAGAAAGTGGAGACGAAAGCAGACGACAAAACATTGGTAGAGAGCCGGGAAGCATGTGAAAGGAGACAATTTTAGAGAAGAACATTTTCCCCGTCGTTACCTGGGTTCGAACCCGGGACCTTTGAATGAGAGGCGAACCCCTTAACCTCTAGCTAGGCCACGAGAGCCCACAAGCATTAGTTTTGGACTAGTGATGTGCTGAGTCACAGTCGGATTTCCTATACGTTTGGGTACTCGCAACAGCAGTGCCACCAACAGAATCGCGGATGACAGAAAACGAAAGACAAAAACGTGAAAATATCGAATTGGGGAAGTTTAACGCCCCATATTGACTCTATTAGGTTATTTAAGAGGCGGGACCTCCCGAGTTTAACGTCCATCTCCGAAAGGACCGAGCCAAATGGGAATTTCGTGTAAAGTGCCTTCCCCAAGGACACCACGTCGGACCGAGCTGAGGCTCGAACCCTGAACCCGCAATCTCATGATTACAAATCCGGTACTAAACCTAACCACTAGACCACCGACGCCAAACAAAAATGGTCGCCTTTAAAGACAAGCGGGCTAACCCAGAATTCGGGGGTTTCCAGAAATCTTGACCTACACCAAAAGTGGGCATTGCTCTACCTATAGATGAAGTTTGGTTTCATTGGTGTGTCTACTAATTTGTTTGATTATAGAGAAAACACCCCCTCTCTTTTAAAGAAACTGAACAAGGGGCAAAAACTTTACCTTCGATTTTCTCAAAACAGCATTTTTCGGGATAGCCCCCTTGTGCTTAAAAGCGGACAATTGCGAGTCCGGTAGCTTAACCACTAGACCACCCACGCCACCCGAAAATGTGAAGAGTGTCACCAAGGAACAAACCGCACGATGAGAACGGCAACTGCATCGACATATAACCATGTGTTAATTAAGTTTTAGTAGAGTTTTTACGGCGCTCGCAACTGCGTTTAAGGTCGTATGAGCGCCAGAAGATTACAGGTATTACAAGAGAGTAACAAACATAAAAAAAAGAAACGGAGATAAGGACGATAGATGTTTGATGGGAAAGAAGAAGCAAACCACACCAGAGCACCCGCCAACCACCCACTAACCAAGTGTGTGTGTGTGTGTGTGTGTGTGTGTGTGTGTGTGTGTGTGTGTGTGTGTTATGAAAAAGTTACAAGACATGGTTTGTTACAAATCCAGACCCATTTTTTTCATTTAAAAAAAAGAACACAAAAAGATATTCTTTAGCCTATTGAAGCTCTCAGATTACTATTAATAGTTTTAATATTGATTTTTGCCCCAGTGTCGCCCGTTAGCGTGAAATAAGAGCTTCTGCAAAGGGTTTTTATGAGGTATTGTGTTTAAAAACCCTTTGTGTGCAGTGATTAATGAATTGGCAGTTGGCAGGCGAATGTAGTTTGTTTGCGGGTGTGTTTCAAGTTTTTCTTTTTCTCTGCAAGTCTAAGGAGCGGGCATCCACCTTGCGAGGCCAAACAAGATGGCTGTTACTATAGATATCGGCCAATGACGTTTAGTTGTCGTTCTCTAATTATCCGCTTGTTGCTAATAATGGACACTTGGTCATTCGTATCAATTTACGGTCTCTGATTCGTATCCCGTGATCGTTACTGTGTCTTTCTTCTTCTTCTTCTAGGGGCAGAACGACGCGGTTGTGTTGGCACCTTTCTGTATCCTTTTAGCAAACAGACGTTACTTTTGCACACAAACACGGACGCCTGCATCCCCGGGCGAACACACACATATACTCACACGCACGCACACACACTCACAAACTCACACACACACACACGCACATACAAACACACCATACACAGACAGACACAGAGGGAGTGTGTGAAAGTGTGTGTGTGTGTGTGTGTGTGTGTGTGTGAGAGAGAG